AAAAAAACTGTAGCTCTGTGTAACAGGACTCCTCCGTCAGAACCATTCAATGCAAGGGCTGATAGCCTTTAAGCAAGACGTCAGAATCTTCGGTACTCTCGTGCTTCTAAGATTCTTGAAGTAAAACGCTAAGACGTTGGTATACTGTCTCATGTCCAGCAGCGACTCAATTTCATTTACTTGTTCTTGAGCAACGGTACGCTTGATGAAATAGCATACAGGAATAACAGACTATTGCTATTCGCTACTTCAGTAGAAGACTGACATCTTGAGCAAAGGCTGTGTCTACCTCAGAATTTGGTACCTCGCTGAAGATCTATGGCAGCGAGATTTTTGAAGGAAGTTTTCTCGATTCATTGTGGATCTGGATCAGAAGGCATTTAAGCAATTACCGCAAAATATGAGTCTGCTGATCTGGTACGGTGGCCTTGAAGTCACTGTACACGACTTTCTGAAATAATTTTAAAACCTCAGCACCAAAACAGGGCTAGATTAAATGGATAAGAATGGACAGCTTCGTTATGAATATTGCAATAGATAATATGAGTTGAGCTACTAGGGTGGAGAGCCAAAAATCGAAGGTATCTGCAGAATTGACGCAAGATGACTGAAAAATAATGAAAACGAAAATGAACAAAGTTTGCGTTCGTTTGATGAACGATTCTTCTAATACCCTCATGATTGGGCTATTCTTGCACCTTTCTTTTCCTGAAGTTAATGAAGGGAGCGTTGATCTCCGTTTTCATTTTATTAGCCAGGAATGCCTCGTTTTAGCGACAAAATCGACAGCAGCTGTGTAGCATGCATGGTGTGTAGTCTTCTGTTTCCTTCCCACAGACTAGTACCCATTTATCAACCAAAGAAGAAAGAACGGAGTAAAAATCTTGAAAGCCTTTCGGTTCTGAATCTGAGGTTCTACCTCCTGAGTGATTCTGTTCTGAAACAACCTGTGTTAAGTTCCTTGCTCAAGAGAATTCATTGTTAAGACAAGGTTTGCCTCTGGAATCGAATCAGACACCACAAAGCGACTTTCTAAGTGACCTCTTAAGCTTAAACACTCTGACAACATTCCACAGTGATATCAGAAATGACAGCTTTTCCAGAAAACCAGCTGTATCAACATTCGATAGCCTGTGACTTGGCAGTCAACGACTCGTTTGGCGACCGCGGTTCGCTAAGGTAGTTTCCGTTAGAGCAGCAGCGATTTATCTGAAGCCAACCACCGGCTGAATGTCCAAATTTACCAGAGCTTGATATACACATTGACAGTAAATATTGCAGAATTTAATTCAATAAAAAGTTCTTAAAAATGTTAATCTGCTGAAGAAATGTTTTGCATATAATAATTGCTTTATCACCGGAAATGCTGTACTCGAGTTAATCAAAGGTCGTTACAATAAATATTCATTGCAGGTTAGCTGCTGAGTCCCCTTGAATGACTTCCTTGCAGCTCAGAGAACATTAATTGTAAATTTAATATCAGGAAAATGACGCACATCACTCCGCACCATAAAGGAGACGCGCTTATGGATGATGATGAAGATGATGATGATAAATGACGCACGGCATTAAACGATGTGACGAACATTCATCAATTACCATTGAACATTTTTACAGGTCATCGACATAAATGTGTCTCATAACATAATGCATATGTTATCTATTCATGAGCATATTTTTTGACCCCATGGTTCACATCGTTTGTCGCACATGAAATCTAGAGAAGCATTAATTTTGTACCTACATTTCCTTTAAATGTATTCACTCCATCACCGTACACAAAATTGATATAAATGAACATAGGGCTTGTGTATAAGGCACGACAATGGCTTTCCACTGATTAATCATCACAGGTGAACACCACATGATGGATTACTCATAAGGAGATAATCGGAATGATAGTATGCCCCCGCCACTGCCATAACTATGCAGATTTCCTTGTAAAAAAATTTTTTTTGAATTGTATTTGAAATGCGACGAATATCATATGTCAAGCGAACAAACGAAATGGATTTCCGAATATCTAAGCTACGTTGCTGACGCAGCTGACATTCAACTGCACAGCCAGCTCAACGTTCAATTCGAACCCTTTGTGCTATGCCATAGAGCGACATAACAATAAATCATACACCAAAACTGAACCGCGAAAATATGGCTTTACTGGGAAACCGCTTGTTTTCAATACCGTCGATTAGAATAACATTTTCCTGCTACGCGGCGCAGCGCACCGTCAGCTTGCTTCCAGTAGCCTAGGGGACCGCAGCTTCATGGCATTTTAGCATCTACAGTGCATGGGATCGAAACAGCACCAATTTGAGGGTTTAAACAAACATATGCTCGAACACCAGCGAATGTGCTTCACTCCGTATACATACCAATAATAAACCGTCTTTTAAATCCGGATAACCGATAGCGTTGAAAACTAGCAGTTTGCTAGCAAAGCCATAATACCGGCGTTAATTGTGGAATATGTCGAATGACTAAGGACTGAGGTATATTTATTTGTATTCTGTTAGACCCACCAGAGTGGTACTGTTTGGCGTCCATGAGTTGCAGGTGTTAAAATAGCTTGAAACCATGGCCTGCTTAAACGATTCCCTAAGCTGCTAGAAGTGAGGGAGCGGTGTGCAACGCCGAGTACATTCCTTGAAGTGACAGGAGGTAATAAGTCATAAAATTCATCGTTACCAGCTTTGCGATCTGTTGGTCATTTCCCAGTCAGAGAAAGGCTGCTTCATTCCGAAATTTGCTTTCTGTTTGATGAATGATGACTCGAACCCAATCTCAATCAAACCACACATACGACGACGTATATTTGCTTACTGGTACGTTTCATCAGCGAAAACCGTTAATATCCACATTTTACACATCTACAGTAATAAATCGGCGTCAGCAACGACTTTCGTTTCAAATGGCGGACAGCATCGAATTTGATAGATGTTGTCCATGGCTTCTTGATCCCATTTCTCCTTTTGGTCTATTGCTCAGGCGTAGCCCCCTCCCCCCACATTGACGACGCCTCAGTTTTGGTCCATATTAAAGAAGGCCGAATGTGCGTGCGAGATCTGACTCTGTAATTAATTGTTCTGCTGTGCTACCGTGTCATTCTTCAGTGCCAAAGCACCGTCATCTCCAACAGAATGTCCTTCTTGTATTTGGTTCTGCGTATGCTTGTCAGACTTCGAACTGGTTGCAGTATGACTCACCTTCAATAGCTTCAGAATGTGTGGTCAAAACCCTAGATTTGAGGAACAAAGCGCACTCGCTATCCGCCATCTTGGCGTATTCCTCGATGCAACGGTATCTCGACCATCTGTTCAACTCTCCCTGTTTGACACCTTTACCATTTGTCATTGGGATACACAACTTACGCAGTTCAAAGCGATCAGTTCTCAGCTTCAGACATACCGAGTAATTTTTAACGGATTAAATAATTACAATCAATTATGAATACACGCACCCAATGGATTGTTGCAATCCGACATTGTTTACTGTATTACCACACAGTGTTGTTGCCACATTGCACGTTTGTTTGTCGCGTATTATAAGTACAAACCCCGGTTTGACCAAAGTGGTAGCGACAATTATGACTTCCCTAGTAATTATAAATACGAATTAATTAAGAAGAAATTCCAGGTTCAGACGAATGCAGCATTATAGAGCTACCTCACAAGTGCAATCCCCTACTTATTGTACATTTTCTATATTCGATTATTTGACTACCTGATAATTTTTTTCCTAACTGCCAGCCATCTTCAGTACCGTCAACAGTTAATATACACTGCCATCAGTATAGTAATGTATGCCAATCATCATGAGTCGTTACAACACTGGTGGAAAAAGTATATTACAAATGCTTTTCAGACAGCAAAGATGGTATATGATGAATTATACTAATATTCCATACTCCACCTTCGTCCAGTCAGTCTCACAGCTTCGATTGTTGTCAATCATTTCTGGTTGCGAAAGCAACTAGGTCGAAAACTGTTCCTGAGCTGCGGTAGAACATCACCCCAGTTTAGATCACTGATCATCGAAGTAATTTGCTCAGATTATTGGTTGTCTTTATTGGGTCATAACATATCGGTCAGTCAATCAGTTTCGATGACAGATTATCATTTCGGATTACAGAGGCAGGCGGGTCAAACAGTGATCCCAACGTTTTGAATAAGCCAGCGTTTGACATTCGACAGGAGCTAAACTGATTATGAAGACCTTCGGTAGACAAGCCCAATTAATTTCAACCCGTCACCAGGGTTTCGGCTGTTTCATTGGGTTGTTTCGCCTTCCTCTGTGAATGCTTTCGCATGACGTATCTCTAAACTATCGCAGCTGTGACTTATTCATCTGGAAAGAAGCAGCTCTACACCAAGGCTGTTTGAAATCCCTGTACTCCGGACCATGTAAAGACACGTGAGGCCAACCATTCGTCTCAGAAAACCCGTTTTAGATGCTTGTTTCCTGGATCGAAAATTTCCAGTCGTGTACAACGACTAATGGGCGCAGATGAGAATCGGGATGAAGATCGACTTAGTCTTCAGACGCCCAGATGAACTCTTCCTTAGTTTCATAACGGTTAGGGCAAATTCACATGGAGTGCCGCTATCCAGTCCAACTGGCCGGTCGATCACTACCGCCTATTTTCCATTATCACTAAGTAGGATGAGTTCCGAGGTGCGTGAACTTCATCTCATGTTTATGGTATGGAGAGCGAAACTGGCATGAGAACGAGAAAACTTTAGGTTTTTCGCTTTAGACACGTTCACATGCATGCTGGCCACGTCGCACTCGGCTGCAAACCTTTCTAGAGAGCGTTTTACATCATCGGGCACTGACAGGGGCGTTCAAATAACTCATTACCTGCTTTAGTAGGCCTCCCGCGTAGCCTCGTCATATTTTAACCTCTTAACATCCAGGAACTGATGTATTTCAACCAGATAAGGTCGGTGTGATACGGATAATTTTAGACGAAGTTCCTCCTACGACCAAATGGTGGTCAAATGCAGACGCCACGCCTGACCCCGTACCTCAAGTACCGAGCTCCTCTATTGACGCTGATGAGGTTGTTGTCCGGTTGGGTGTTTCTGCCTCCATCGGGAGAATCCGAGATGATGTGGCGAAAGCGATTATATGGAAAAAGTTCGGCGATGATTAAGCTGTTTGTCGCGCAAGTGATTGACAGACACCTGCCGTTGTCATTCACGATGGCAATACCGTGACCGTCGAGTAAGCCTTGCCATGTTCTGTACTCGGCACCCAGTTTCGTGTGAAGGTCAGCTGTGACAACTGTGACGCGACAGAGTCTCAACAGTCCTAGAATCCATTTTTATTACTGTCACTCACATATTCGCCAGAGCATGGGCGACGATAGCATTAGCACGGAGTGTTTGACACTTACAGGATTCTCCTCGACATCTGCTCCACAGAAATGACCGCCTGACTCTCTTTAGGACTTACCTCAAGTGCATACCCATGCCGGCACGGCGAATTCCAAGGAAGCCTGGCTTTTAAAATGACCACCATCCTGCAGAAGAAGCTTCCCTCCGCTGGGAGGTGAGCTGCTGTGTCCTCCAGTACATTGAGTCTGTGCCGAGTCATGAATTCCCTGGTTCCTAGATTTCTTGTAAGTCGTCAGCGACAGGCAGTCCCAGCGCGATTCATTTCCACGAGAGCAATAAATTGAAAAAGACCCTCGCCGCAAAATCAGCTGGAGAGTGAAAGTGAATCAACCTTGGATTAATGTTCAATCAGCTGACCGATCGATCAGATGATTCTCAGGTTAGGACGCCTGAAAAAAATGAAAATTTTTCAAACCAATGGAGTTTTGTTGCAATCGTTGGAGGCATAGCGAACATGATCACTTGGAACGCGGAATTTTTGAGACCACAGAAGTTGAATAGGCAGACATCATTACTTGTTATGACGAGTGCGGTGTTTACCGAATAAAACCTGCACTCATATTATTACTACTAGGAGAATGTGCTAAAAAATATCACTCAAATTCGAATGCCTGTGTCCGAATCTGAGCGCTGAACAAAGATACCTTCAAGCCACTCCTGAACCTACGTCGGCGACTTCAACACCAGACGTCCAAAGCTACGTGAGTTTCTCTACAGACACCGGAAATGCGACACGTGCAATTTCATGGAGTCTCTGATATTTTTGTCCTTGCAATACGAACAGTTTCTTGAGAGTAAACGAGGACTATTGCTTGAGTCTGAACCCTGCATAGCAACACGGTTGCCTTTGAACTTTCGCCGCTTATTTCCATCCAGCATCACATCCCTGGCAAAAGACCGTCTGCTCGAATTTAAGGAGGATCGCCGGTCATTTTTTTTTCTTGAGGGAAATAAGTAGGATACAACCCATATTAAACAAAGCATTATTGGCTTTGCAGCTTGCCCTTTAGAGAGACTGGCCGCCATAAAGCATAAATAAACATGATAACAACAGTTCCTTTTTCTTTTTCGACTTCATACATTCAAAACAAGATTCATGGAAGCCCCAAGTAGGGCAGAGCCGAGTGTACCAAACATACAACCGAAATAATGTAGAGTAATATAGATTGGTGTGGTAGTTTACGACTGGAAATTTTCGATTATAATGATTTGAAAATGAGGGTGAAATTGTGGAGTTCGTGTGAATAAGGACGCATTCACTTCACCGCAGATATACCTGTTTATCCATTACTTTCATAAAAGTTTTGGAACAATTGATGAATGTTCATTTCTATGAATTCACAGATAATTGACTCACCATTATTAATAATGTTTTATTTCATTATCTCCGCATTCATTTAAATTCATAGAGCGCGTAACGTTTATCAGAGAATTTCAGTTTCATTTGACATTAAGACTACAAGAATGCACACGTCATATGGACATAACGCAATTACAAAACTCAGCTATCTGCAGAGGACTTTGCATATCCATCTCTGATTAACTGATCAGCGGCACCCTCAGGACTGCCGGTAATTGCTGGTTGGTCATCTGGCGTCATGGATACCTCAGCTATCGTGATATTTTCCTCGCGTAACGGTTCAATGTAAAGTGAGCTAACTCCAGTACTTTCTGGCATGGCCTTGAAACGAGGGTCACGCTGCAATTCCATTTCAAAGTTTTCTCGACGATGCAGCTGATCGTCGGCTCCTGGGCGATAAACGTCTAGGCAACTTCTTACCTCTGGTTCGAAAACTTCATCAGCACTGGATTGCACCTCCCAGTCGACGAGCCACGGCAACTGTTTCTCGACCAAGGTCAGTTCGACAGGTATTGATTCTAAATTTTCCTGTACATTAACTTCGATCTGATTAACGACGTGACGATTACGATAGAAAACAAGAAACTCGTTTCCTCGTTTCCTCCCTTCTTGCAGAAAAGGCTGCGCTGGTTGAAGATTCTATTATTTTAAACAAGAATTTATGTAGTTAAAATGTTCTGAATACAGAACAGTAATTTGAATCAAAATAGGTAATAGATATCATGAAAAATGACCACTCCAAAATGTCAGGACAATGTTGGAAGGTAAAGTTGAACTTTAGGCTCAAACAATGCCGTTGAGATATCTTTCATTCAAGTTTGACAGTGCCTCAATATTGCAAATTCAATAACTCACTAAAATGAATATGGCAATACGTCACTAATGTAGTCATGCATTTATCTATTCGTTAATTAGTTAATATATTAATTCACTCAATTTCATTGTATGCTATTTCTTTCAAATCGCCTAGACACATGCCTCAAAGGAACTTCTCAGTGGTCTCACTGACCTAACAAATGGCAAACTCAATTTTCTAGACTCAAAGGTGTGCCTGTATCGGATCCTTTGTGTAACTAATAGATTTAGTAAATGTTTTGGCGCATGATCGATTTTCTGGTGGAAGCCTTCGTTAAGTGTCTTGATGTAGCATGCATGTTCTAACAGTCGCAGTTGTGATCGCACAACTTGGGGTATCTCATTTTTCTTCCTCCAAACCTTGCCCAGCTCCTGTCATATACATTCCTTCATTTCGAATTTTTCCGGTACTGTGATTTTAACTTCTAAGCATGCAAAAAAATGAGTACTCGAACTACTCATCATGGTCTCTTTTCATGAACTTTCATTTTCCAGCTGGTTTTTGATTGTCTCTGAAATTCTGGTTACCCGATTTGTGAAATCGATGTTTATCTTCAACCGGTATTTTCAAACCAGGTGCCAGTGATTAGTTATCTGGTGTCTGCCAGATCACAAGTCTTTGTTCTCGGCAGTTTCGCTCCCAAATCCGTATCTTCAACGAACTCCTCGTCTGCTTTCCCTCTTCGACCTTTCGTAATGTGTGAATATGGGACTTCAAACCCTATGAAGAATTCTTCTTCCACTGAACTTGCAATAGCATAAACATAGGTCTCTTTGAGAATGAGATTCTTGGTCAGTTGTAGACACAGCACAAATCGAAGGCATGGTAACGAAAAAGTGCAGGAGAAGAATCTGTTGACGATAAAGCCGATTCCTCCAATGGCTTTTGCCGTGTCTCGTTTTCAAAAACTTCAGCTATTTGCTGATTCGAGTTTCACATAGAAGACTGAAGATTTCGCACGTTACTCCGGACATCTCTGACATTGTATGGACACCTAATTCTTACAACTGTCAGTGGTGCTGGCTGAAACCTTTGGTCGTTTTCTGCTTGGCCGTATGACATCTGGGATGCTTAGCAGCCTTTTATCAGTTCAGTGCCGTACCATCGGCTGGGACTCATTTTCAAGCATTGTTTCAGCTTTTCAAGCTTCCACAGTAAATCACTTGCTGGTTGAACTGACAGCAACGTGGTATACGCCCTTAAATTTGGTTATTTTTTAACTTTATAAGAGGTTCACTTATCCCTCCCTCGGAACACATCGACTTCTTGACCTCATGGTGAAACTCATCAGATACCGCACTCAGATATCGTCGCTGTCAGGCAGTTACGGTCACAGCTGCATCGCTCTGCTGCGTCGATGAAGGATGTTGCAGCAAGAATGTGAAGTGAATTTTACAGTCCCAAAACGA